TGGAAAATAAACTTCATGTTCCAAACCACCAACCAGAGGCAACAGTTCACCTAGCAACTGAGGTACCACCTTTAGGAATCAAAATCCCAATGGAATCTCTCCCGGAAATCCCTTGGCTTCCCCATTTTTTGCGGGTGAAACCCCATGAAATCCCCACCTAAAACTCCAACATGGCTAACACCCAAAACCTGACCTATAGTTCTCAATTTTGGAATGGCTACACCACATTCCAAAATGAACTATGGCTAATAACTATAAGACTTACACCTAGCAGCTATCGTTAAACTCGTGGGCCCCCACTTTGGCGATCTGCCCCCCTGGTGTGACAGTGCCAGCAGCGGCTCCTTCTGTGGCAACGAAATCACGGTGGTCTTGGCCAGACGCTGTGGTTGCGACATCCAATTCCTCAGCAATGGCTGGTGTTCTTCGAAACCATGCTGACATGTCACCAATGATCTAACATATGGACCATATAGAGATACATAGTTGAATCCTAATACACATAGCTAAAATGATAAATGGGAAAACATCACTAGGCGATGGCAACTATGGTAGATATATCTACGTATAGTGAAGGGGGTGTAAAGACCAACTGGCTATGCATGAAGGTCAACTGGTTGAGACACCATGGAATTCACCTTGTTATATTTGCCAAGTTGCCTATTATGAATTAAATATACATCACAGTTAAATCCCAATTTGACAGTGTTCAAAACCCGAAATGTCATTCCATCAAATACAGGGTCAACAATAATTTTCCCAGCTCATAGATTGTGATAATCCCCAATATATTTGACATTAGAACCCCATATGCTCATCAACAAAAAGGCGTTGCGGACTAGATCCCTCTTATGTTGGATATTGGCATATATTGGGATATAATTTTGACATATTTTGACGACACTCAAATTATCAAAATCATCTATACAGGGTAGTTCATTGATTTCAGGGATCATCCAAGTTGAGCCATCCGTATTGAAACATCAAAAAAAGGGCGGCATCTTCCAAAATCACCAGCGAGCTCGTGTAAGAGCCACCCTGTTTCACAATGTTTCACAGGTGTCCTGCCGTCCTCAGACTCTTAGATCCCCTGCCCAAAGTTCGACTTTGGTCGATGTGGCAAATAATGTGCGCCATTCTGACCCCACAAGAGGCTTAAAATCTCAATGTATGGCGTACTATGGCGCACTGTATGGCAACCCACACCCGCCTCAAGGCACTGCTGCCAAGCTTCTGCACTGCCGCCACATCGACCTCTTTCTGCCAGGTCTCTAAAATCGCCATTGCCCAGGGCTGGGGCCTTGGGGGTCCTATAGCTGTTCTTCGCTCTGTTGTTTGGTGTGCCAAGGATGGCAAGGCTCTGGGCTGAGGCAAGCACTCTTGGCCTCGGGGGTTGGTGGTTGAGTTTCAGGGGTAGTGAGGTGGTCTGGAATGAGTTCAGGTTTCCAGGCAGGTTCAAGCCCATGTTCTGTTGGCTTCATGGGTCATAAAAAACCCTGAATTTGTTTGGGTGGAGGGATGGTGAAGGGGTCAATCGCGGCCCCCTTGGCACGCGGCCAAATTGGGAAAAACATGGAAAAACAACGATGGAAAATCTCTTGCCTCGACGCTGAGCCGAAAAAACATCATCCACACCATCTGCTTGGTGGTGGATGGTTGTCTGTGGAAGGGATCAGAAATCATCTTCACCTATCCTGACCTGTTGGTTGAGAAGCTGGTGACACCAATGACATCAACAGAAATAGGGAGAAGAACACCAATCTTGGAATGCTGGATGAGGCTAGATGGTTCCAGCCCCATTCACTTGACTGTTACAAACAACCTTCCAAATCATGAAATGGAAAGGGGCCAAACACGATAGAGATGAGGGAAAATCTCAGCATTATTCAACCGGATATAGAAATCAGAGTAAAACACAAGACTCGGAAGCAAGATCATGTGTTGCCAAATCCATTAGTACAGGGCTTTTTGCCATCAATTTATCGAGTTGAACGATTCTTTTCAGCACCAACCATCTTTGATAATGAAGCCGGCCATTGGAAGTGTCGAACCACTAATTTTGGGCATGGCCATGTTGAAGACCTGGATTTCCGAGGAATGTTCAAATGGTGACCACCTCGACCCTCGTTAACTCGACAAGAAACAATAAATGCATATATATATATATATTATATGACAATTATGAGGCAAAATGTCAGGTGTGATGTCTGCTTGGAGGGTCTAGGTACAAGCTTAAAACACCAAAGGACTGGCAAGAAGCTTGAACTGTGACTGGGGTTTCCATGGCTGCAGGTGTGTTACTTCGAAGTGCTTAGATGGGCATCATATGCATGCAGTCACTGTCAAATTGAAAAAGTATAAACATGTAAACACCATAAACACCAGTACTGCATGGCTTATTGATGCCCTCCAATTGGAAACACCTACTGAAACCCAACTTGGAACCCCAAGCAACATGTTCCAGTTAGGCCAACAAACCAAACTTTGCTCGGATTCATCCAATTATTGATATTTAGTTCTTGTACATGTTGTATTTATTCGCACCATCAACTGCGATTCCTTCTTCTTGCCGATTCGACCCCCCCGGATTTCCAACGGAGCAGTTTTGAGCGGAAGCGAGGATGCGAACACCGGCGATGCTGGAAGCGAAGGCCTGACGACCTGACACCGTTTGGTCATGGACCCCTTGGCCAACGCTTGCGGATGACTGTAGCTGTTAGTGGTGGATAGCAAGAACTTTCATGAGTTCATGGGCTTCTCAATTTTCAAGCATCCATTGTTGGCGACAGAAGAACTTGTTCTTTATTTGTTCTAAAGTGGAGTGCCAAAGCATTTGCTCCTCTAAAACTTGTTCAACCATCATCCGAGACGCTGAGTCAATTTTGTAACCCTGGACTATCCGATATACTCCTGGCGGCATCCCCCCTGGAAAGTCAATCATCTATACAAGGTGAGGTCCCCAACATAACTTGGCTAGGCTTTATGGGGACTGTAGCTCTACTCAGGATCAGCAGGTGACCTTTGCAGCTTGACCGCGCCTTGGCTCACACGTATTGGGCCTCCATGGCTGCATCGCCCTAGGGCGAGGCAAGGTGAGCTTGGCTAGGCGCAACCACAAGATATTGGCGATGCGTTTTATTGGAATTAGATGTTACCGTCCAGTAAATTAACATAGACCCTGGATTGACCCTGGTAGATAGGGGTTGGAAGATTATTTTCCACTAAACATGGGTTATTCTAAGGGTCTATGTTAATTTACAGTACCAGAGGGTATCTGTTTTAGGAAACTGATTTGAGCCAGTCAGGGTCTCACCAACGCTGAGGTGCGAACAACATGGCCCACTAAACTGTATGAATAACACTGGTAAGAACAATGATAATATGAGAATAGCAAACATACAAAGAGACATGCGCATCACCACTATCTATCATCTTTTGAAATAGCGATATAATCAATAATAATGTTATTGAGCTTAAATCACATTATATCGTAGAAATGATGCTCATAAATGATATGTAATTATATGTAATTATGTGATTGTATGTTTATGTACATATATTTTATATGTATGATATGCATATCTTTCTTAAAAAGAACAATACCCATCCACCAAGATTGATCAAAACTGCAGCCACCTTTTGTGTCAACTGGCCACTGATTTCTCCGTCGCCTCCTCGTCTTCCCATTCACCTGCACCAGGGAGATTTAAGATCCAATATGATCCAAACAATTTAAGATTGTGACCCCGTGTAGAACAGAGAAAGTGGATTTTAGCAAAAAAAAAAAACAAAAAACAAAAACAAAAACAGAATCACCCAAAAAACAAATCGACAGGAAGAATCACCAGAAGAAACAAAAAAAACAAAAAAAACAAGGAAAAAAACAAAACCTGCATTTTCCGCAGTTGTTGTTTTTTTTTGCTTCTTTTTTGTTTTTTTCTTGTTTTTTCCTTGGTTTTGGTTTTCTAGTTTGTTTTTTTTGTTTGCTCTGTTTTTTTTTTATTTTTTTTTGTCAAACCCTATATTCTCTGTGTTGTTGGACTCATAAATTTAAGATCTACCCTCTGGTAATTTAACATAGCTATTCAAAATGATCATTTATAGTTGATTTACCCATTATATAAACATGGTGATTTTCATTGATTTTCCATAGTTTTTTGTATGTTTACCAGAGGGTAAACAGTGAAGCACCAAACATGACTAGTGCTGCCAGGACGTTTCCCCCAGCCTTCATCATTCCATTGGCTCCAATCCTGGACGGAAAAACGAAACGAAGCCCGGAGCAACATCTCTGGGATTTATGGTGGACTTAATGGAGATTAATGTGCGTGTTATATGGTTTATATTGATTTACCCTCTGGTTATTTAACAGTTCGCCATGGTATAGATGGCCCATAGAAATAGATGGTTTACCGTTCTTAAAAATGGAGATTTTCCATGGCTATGTTAAATAACCAGAGGGTATATGATCTGGTTGGTGGTAGACCTACCCCTCCGAAAAATATGAGGGAAGTCAGTTGGGATGATTTTCCATTCCCAGCTGAATGGAAAGTCATAAAAGTCATGTTCCAAAGCACCAACCAGATATATCACAGAAATCCTTGGAAATTCTTCGGATGATCATGAGAAAAGCCAACATAATCATCATCACCTCAGAGAAGAAAAACACGTAGGACCCAGACCTGATCATCGTCTCCGCCAACCCAGCATTCTTCAGCCCCCAACCTTGGAGACAACCACTGGCGACTGGCGTGGTGCTTGAAGAAACCACCAAAAGATGACACAAGATTCCCTACAAGTACTGGATTCCAATCCTTTATATATTCCACAAGATTCCACAAGAAAAAAAAGGTGGATTTTCCATTGGGAAAATGAAAACTCATCTTCAGAAACTCCAAGCTGGTTGGTCAACCTCCAGTCTGCAGTTGTGAACAATCGCTTTTTCTTCCGAAGCCGTATGGTAGGAAAAAACAAATACAATACCAAGCAATGCAAGCGAATCACGGTTCATCGTCATCCTTGAGGTCGCAGTTCCAGTTGTAAGCGGGTGTATGGCTACCATTGTGGGGGGTTATGGTATAGTCCGACTTAAGAGGTTTACCACCCAAAAATCGCCCGAACCGCAACCCCAAGATCCCCAAGTAGTAATTAATATCACCACATCTCATAAATCCGCCATTTTTCCCGGGTAACTTCCCACGTTCGAAGCCCCTTTTGTGCTTTAAAAACTGCAACGGCTCCTGGCCCAGCTTGGGGTCCAGGCCCACTGGCGTCTGAAAAGAGTTGGAACCTCGCGACCAAGTTTTGTGGGGCAAATGAGATGGAAAAAACTTAGGATGGCTTGAAGTCGGACGGAATGCCTCCTGCAAACACGGACATGGATGGAAATGGATGGAAAAGAGTCCCAAGTTTATGCAATACAATAGATATCAATAGAATGATATCAATAGATGTGATGTAAGTAGTGCATGTGTGACATGTCCTCACCACTTCTTGGCAGGGGCAGATCGGCATCCAAGCAACCATAGCTTTTCAATCTGTGATCCCCTTTGGTGCTCGCAAACTTTCAGTGTGACCCAGCATTTTTATGCATTTTTCGCTTTGGTTCTTGTCAGCCCCTCTTCAACCCTGGCGCAACGGTTTTCCGTTTGGAGCAGCGGCATTTCAACCCAAGGCACTCACAGGTGTCGCCCGGATCCAAGGAATAGCGGTTCAGCAGATCGATGACCTCACTGCCAGGTCAGCATCCTATACAACGGACAAAATATGGCAAAATTGCAAAGAAATCATTGAACACCTAATGATTCAAAATGTTTTTCTGGGCTACCCTATTGAATATCACCATCATGAGATCATGATCATGATGATGATGATGATGATCATCATCATCATCATCATCATCGTCATCGTCATCGACATCGTCATCCTCGTCATCATCGCCTCAATGCCTCAACATTGCCAATCCTAGACACCCTGCCAAGGCAACAAACAACTAGCCCTCCAACTTGCCACGGCCGGCAAGGGTAATCCAGTCAATCGCTATCTGCATACAAAGGGAATGACTGCATACAGATTGATGAATTGAACCCATGATTAATAACCCCCAAATTACTTGCAGGTGGGACATCCAATTCTACTTTTTGGGTCACCCCCTAGGTGATCAACAATGTTTCACCTGGGGTTGACATTAACAGCCAAAAAAAACATGTGTCCTCCACCAACCCCACCCTTAACCCCCTTTATCTCCCACAACAAGCCACACCCAAGTCATGATCTCGATAAATTCCAATTCTTCACCAACCTGACAAGTTAGGCGATAGTGGAATAGCTGCCCGGTTACCAATTCCAATCACTCTGTTGTGACCTCACTGCGCCCAGCGGCGTTGATGTAAATCTTCCCCCGATGTTTATCGAAGAGCGGGTGGTCGATGGGACTCTCAGGCTTGATCCAGCCTCAATCTTTCCCCGCCCAAAATGGCCATCATGGGGGGTTCGGGTGCCCTCTTCTCCAACAAGCAAACACAAGCAAACACACACAAGGGTGCATGAACTAGAAAGACCTTGGTGATCATGGGTTGTTTCTTCTGAAACAAACGTTTTTTCCATCACCCAAAGCGGGGTTTTCAATCTGCTGTCTCTGGCTGATCCATGCTGATATACAAGGGTACCTTGAGGTGTCCTCAAACATGGCTAGCTGGGAAATCCCCGAACCAAATCGGCATCTTGATCACTAAAGGGCACATACTGTCGAAACTATTTTTGGAGTTCTTGGATGATGGATATCTCACTGGTTGTGAGCTTTCTAATGCTGACAACCATTTGTGCCTAGTCAGACTGCTACCGGGTTCACCATGAACAGTGCCACAGTGCCAATCAATCAACCCTGACGAAGCTGGGAAGAATGCTGTAGCACAACAACCTCCTTGAAATCAACAGCTTTGCTTACAGGGATAGTTTAGGAAGGAAACGGGTAAATACTATTGCTTCAACCGCAGAGATTTTCCCTGAAACACATCCATTGAACATTACATCCCTGTTACACCATATTAGCCCTATCTATCTATCTATTTATCTATCTATCTATCTATCTATCTTATCTATCTAATCTATCTAATCTATCTAATCTATCTAATCTATCTAATCTATCTAATCTATCTAATCTATCTAATCTATCTAATCTATCTAATCTATCTATCTATCTATCTGTCTATCTGTCTATCTGTCTATCTATCTATCTATCTATCGATCTCTAAAAAAACTATATTCCTGTGTGTGGGGATATGCACTATACAGTACCCATACATCTTCTCTTCACGATCTTCCCATTGTATCCCCAGGCTTTTCCTAGCGATCTCCGGGTGTCCGCGACCGAACTTGGTCTTCCACTCCAAGACTTGGCCCTTCAACGGCTCTGTGGAGATCTTGGCTGCGGCACCCTGGTGATTAGTTGTTGTGGGTATGTAATGGACACATCTTATTGGAGATAGTTAGATAAAATATGATAAAATTGGGATGTGCAACTAATACCAAAGCTGGGTGAATCTGAAAATCGCTCTACTCCCGAAATGTCTATCATAGAGGAATATTGATGGTTCACCCAAGGATTTAGCAGGACCCTGGTTTCAGACACCAAATGCCCAATAAGAAACAAGTCAGAGCCACGCATCCTCATGTTGACCGCATGTTTTTTGTGGTCAAAAACGTCCAATCACTGGGATGAACAAACGGTAACAAACCGTTAAACTGATGTAGCTACCCTCTAGAAAATAGAATAATCCAGAATTAAACCAATGCAGTTAGAATAATGCGCGCCCCCCACTTAGAATATTCCGAGAACATTAGCAGTTAGAATATTCAAAGTCAGATGAATCCATTCAAGAAGTAATGTGTTTATTGATATTTTCATTGTCGAATATTCTAAGAGCAAAAAAACACATGCAGATAGAATATTGTCCGGGGAGCTCAAGGAATTAAGCCAACATATCCTAAATGCTAGCCTGCCACTATAAACATGTGGAAAATCATGGAATCATCCGAAGAATGGATATGATGATGTATGATGTAAGATTGCGGTCTGTTTTTGTTTTCGTTTGCTTTTGATTGTCATTACTCATCACCCGTCTTTATTGAGCCTTTTGGTCCGCAAACAGTGATCTTTCCTTTTTTGGGGCTATATCATCGCAAGAAGTGTTTATGATCGGCCAAAGTCGGAACATGGCTCACAACTAGGATGCTAGCCACTCACATGCTCATGAAATCAAATGAATCACTACTTGGTGGCTCATTCCATTAGTAAGGGGATTATACCTCATTTGTAGCCTTTTGTAGCGAGACTACCGTGCTTACCCCGTTTATAATTGACGCACTTACGGGCTAAACTACCTTCAAGGCCTCCTGTTTCGGGTCGCAAATCTACCCGGGATCTTGACATCCAGTTGGATTTCAGGGCAGGTAAATGGCATTGGTTTTGCCACATTATCATGCATGATCCCCATAGTTTGTTGGGCAAATCTGCATAGTATCCCTATTAATTGGGGCTTAAGTCCTCAATATTTATAATATTCCCGATAATTATCTCCCAGTAAAATTACTCTACTTCGTGTGATCCCCACCATGACATGTCAGGACGTATATTTGGACATATATTTAGTATATTCTGACATCCTATCTGACATATATTCTGGCATATATTCTGGCATTCTATCTGGCATATATCCTGACATTCCACCTGGCATTCTATCTGGCAGTCTATCTGGCATTCTATCTGACATATTTTCTGACATTTCATCTGACATATATTCTGGCATTCTACCTGTCATTTATTCTGACATATATTCTGGCATTCTATCTGACATATATTCTGGCATATATTCTGGCATTCTATCTGGCATTATATCTGACATATATTTTGGCATTCTATCTGACATATATTCTGGCATATATGTTGGCATTCTATCTGGCATTATATCTGACATATATTCTGGCATTCTATCTGACATATTCTGGCATATATTCTGGCATTCTATCTGGCATTATATCTGACATATATTTTGGCATTCTATCTGACATACATTCTGGCATATATGTTGGCATTCTATCTGGCATTATATCTGACATTCTATCTGACATTCTATCTGGCAGTCTATCTGGCATTCTTTCTGGCATTCTTTCTGGCATTCTATCTGGCATTCTATCTGGCATCTTATCTGACATTCTATCTGGCATTCTATCTGGCATTCTTTCTGGCATTCTTTCTGGCATTCTATCTGGCATTCTATCTGGCATCCTATCTGACATTCTATCTGGCATTCTATCTGGCAGTCTATCTGACATTCCTACATGAGGTCCGGCAGGGAACACTTGGCATGGATACTCGCGGTTGAGGTCCGGCAGGGAACACTGGGCGTGGATGGTCGTGGTTGAGGTCCGGCAGGGAACACTGGGCGGGGATGGGTTGAGGTCCGGCAGGGAACACTTGATGGTCGTGGTTGAGGTCCGGCAGGGAACACTGGGCGTGGATGGTCGCGGTTGAGGTCCGGCAGGGAACACTGGGCGTGGATGGTCGTGGTTGAGGTCCGACAGCGAACACTGTGGATCGCGAGTCGCAGTTGAGCAGGAGGACGAGGACGACGAGGAGGACGAGGAGGAGGAGGACAGGAGGAGGACGAGGAGAAGGAGGAGGAGGAGGAGGAGGAGAAGGAGGACGAGGAGGCAACTGACATAAAATCTAACAACCCTCACCTGGCAGGTGGGGAAAAATGTATTATGATTAATAACCCAATCTGATGCATTTTAGTTGTTAGTTAAATCTTCATTGTATCCCAATTAAATGGGAGATTAATTTCAAAGCCCCATACTTTTTGCTAAGTTAAATCAATATCTCGATAGCATCCCTATTAATCAGGGGCTCAAATCGCCATCATCAACCGTATTCCCAGCAGTTATCCCCCATGAATAACCCATTCTTGATGTATAGCACAACATTTTGTTTGGGACTTTAATCCCCTATCGTTTGCCCCGTGTTTCTGCTGAAATCCCATGGAACTTCCATCCGCTGAGGCATCCGGCTCTGGTACGTGGAAGGTGGGGACCTTGGGGTTCTCTGCTTCATGGGATGATCCATCTTTGCCATGATGATGTCCCATGACGTCTCTCCAAAAGATAGGTCAAAAACAGTACATCTTTTTGTTTCTTAGTTTCACCCTTTTATATCCTCATGAGAATCTTTCAACCAGCCATGATTACCTTGTTGTTATCACCAGTGCGCCTATCCGGGGGTGCATCCGAGTTACCAAATGAGCTCATATGGGTTTTAAGACCCACTTACTGACTGCATATTAAAGCTATTCTAACCCCAGCTACATGTGGAATATCCCCATTTGGTTTAGGTTGTATACATCAAATACAGCTCACCCAGTGGTGAAGCATGGTGAACCACCAAGTAGGCCACCATCTCTGCTCCAATGCCGAGTTGCCAGTGGGTCGCTTGGACTTGCCTTTGCCTTTGCCTTTACCTGCCAAGGATATGATGGTATGATGCAATGCCCCATGGATTTGCCTCGAAGAACCATCGAATGGCCGAGGTCTGCTAGTTATTGAACAAAACCAAACAATCAGAACGTAATGTGAAACTACCATTGGCACTTTGGAGATGGCTTAGGAAACTGAACCGGTTGTTTGGTGGCTGAAAACTATTGATCTGGAAAGCAGCAAACTTTAACTTGCCATGTGTGTTGAACCAAACAGAGCAGCTGATTGTGCTACAGCAAAATCAAACGCAATGTGAGACCCCCTGAGTTATAAGTTGCTTTATAACCCCCATCAACTATAGTTATACAGCTATTACGTATCATAAACCATAGATATTGGAGTTATTTGCGCCAACTGAACGCTGCCGTAACGGGGATCACGGGGATCCCACGGTGCCACCGCCTTTGCCTTTGCCCTTCTTCACCTCCTGGGAGGTGGTGCTCGCGATGTTGCTTTTTGAATAAGCCGACGGGGGTGTATGATTCTAAATAGGACTTTATGGTGGTTATAATATCCTATAACTATATTAATAGCCATGGATAGGTTGGTTTAGAAACTAGCTTATAACTACGGGAACCGCTTTGTGTCAAGAATGCACGTGACGTGGTCAAGTTACATAGTGATATTGTCATCCGTCTTATAATTGGCATGGTTATAGTGGGCATATGAACCCCTAGTAATGGATTATTGATGATCCCCATTCATCGAATAGTAAGCAATGTCGTGAACATGGCACCGATGGAGCCAAGTGTGATCCAATCAGGCGACAACAAATTCCTCCCTCTGGTTGCCATTTGGCCAAAGGCCAAACCACCCGATTCCGACAACCACATGTGCATTTGTGAAATAATTGCCTTCATCTTTAACGCATTAACATATAATTACATACATAATGTGTATATGTGAACCACGCATTTTTTCAAAAATGATATCCTGATGTTAAACTGTTAAACATTGTTATATATTTTCTGCTGGTATCCTCGTCATGATCACTCCATATCTTCTGTCTATCTATCCTGGCCTATCTTAGATGCCCTGAAAAAATCAACTGGTTGGCATATAGCAATATATGCACACACACATAATCGCACACACAGGCACACGTATATATATATATATACACATAGATATACTCACATTATGTTATACATACAATTGTTGTTAAATAATGTTGTCTATATATATAAATATTATATACTGTATGTATTTATATGTACCCACATGTATGACAACAAATATCACAGGCATCCTAAGGTATTCAAATATGACACAGTACTTCAACTGCCGATCACTGTAAGCCACTGCCAAAGGTTGACCCACCGGCTCCTTCTGGACCAGTTTTTGCGCCTGGTTCTCCTTGGTCAACTGATCCAAGCTTTTCCTGGGCGTCGGGGGGGTGGCAATGGGCTTGTCGATAAGCTATGGGGTAATCATAGGTTAATCGGTTAATAAGGGTGTTAATCGCTCGATATTTGATGGTGAATAATGGTATGTAACTGACACAACTAGTGATTATATGGTTTATAGCTGACATAACTAGTGGCCAAGTAGTGATTATGGTTTAGAATGGGATTTATCAAGCAACTTAATAGTACATTTAGGCAATCAAACAAGGCTAGCTGGGGAAATCCATAAGCCCCAGCAAGCAGGAAGCTAACCTATTTTCCCAGCGTTGCAAGTGAAACCCAGCTGCTTCATCTTCCAAGAATGTTAAGCCCGGATGAATAACCCGCTGGGGCGGTTAATGTTGGTGACGCTGTGTCAGGCTGGTGAATGATCATCCAGGATTCAGTACTTTGGGGTTGGCGTTCCTCATCGTGCTCTGCGAAAAGCGGCGCATGTTTTTGCAAAGCCCACACTGCAAGATCTGAATCCAAAGTAAGGTCCACCCCATCCTTCTGGTGCTTCAGAACTGCGAAACAAAACTCCGCCAGATCAGTGTCCGTGGCTGTCAAGTCTCCAAAGCACCTTCTGTGAACGTTCTGACATAGCGATAAGAACGGCGTGATCTTTGTTGGTTTATAAACCCCATGCGCTATGATTGTACCGTACCTACAGTATAAACCCTAGTTATAACCATTTATAAGCCATCTATTACTATGGGCACCGCCTTGTGGAGAAGATGTAAAAAGTGATTTGACGTGCCTCGACGCTGGTAGCTCAGGGAAAGAAAAAACACCTGGAGATCCTAGAGACCTGTTGAAGCTGGTGCTAACCAAGGCCCGGATCCTTAGAGCTAGAAATTGCCTCAAACAATCCTACCCCCTTGACCGATGGGATGTCAAAGTCCATGTTGCTGCGGACTGAGTGGGGCTTGGTTGGTTGAACCTTTTGAATGCCCTTGAACCACCAATCATTTTGCAAGGGGTTCTCCTAAATCATCAGTACCTTCGCTCTCTCATCTCGCACAAGTGAAATCGCAAAACCATCGCAACGCATCGCAACGCCGCACTGTAGAATCCGGACTTCTACGTTTTTCTGATTGCCGATTTAAAGCCTACAGGAAACTAGCTCCTACGTCCACATGCAAACGTATTGTCTTGAGACAGCGTACCTGCTGGTGTCAATGGAGAGAACGTATCAACAAGTCCCGCACTCCTTAGGTATGGTTTCGATCGTACATTGGTAGTCGCATAGTAGATCAAACAATCGAAACAATTGCCTTGGATCGTTGGGTGTGAAACTCGCCCCTTGGAGTGCTCCATTCAGAAGTGTTTCTTTTGATTCATCGATCCAACGAAATTCATTTAGCTAGTAGCACAGCTAGTGGTTCTTTAGTACCCGTGCGACCTCATTGGTTATTGGTCCGTACAGACGAGTGACATCAGCTGGTCACTAGATCACCAGGATTCTCTTGATAAGTGCAAGCAGTTCTTGCAACTAAGTAAGCCGTTCATATCTCTCTGAATGATCAGCTTAAAATGCGGGGATTAATTGGAGAGTCCCTTTCTTTTTAAGCGCCAGATCAAATACCTCCACTTGTGGCTGCACATTCAACCAATGAACTTCAACCACCCACAATGTTCACCAACATGTTCATATATTATCACAGAAATGTGTTGGGCACCAGTGCTGTTGTCTCTTTTGTCCATATCTCCGCTGAAACAGGTCGTCTCGCAGAACCAGTGCGCTAACCAATTTTTCTTTCTGAGCCAATCTTGCAAGTACTTCCAAACGTTTCTTTAGCCTGCCCTGGCTATAAGACAAGATGCGGGGGCATCTTGCAATCATCTCAATAACAGCTCGTGTTGGGAAATGCGCCTGCAAGAGTTCAACCTTCTGCCTGAAGCTTCTTTCAACATTCTGTCCGAGGATCTGTGGAAAGCCTGAAACACACTTCGCAAGTTGATCTTTGCTCAGCCCAAAGTCCAGGAACCACTGAGCAGTTGGTTTCAAATTCTGATCCATGCTGAATCCAATTATTCGAGGGTAAACAAGTATCATTCTAGCAATTTGAGCCTTTTGAAGCCCAAGGCTGGAGAACCAACTTATTTTGGGTCTCAAATTCTGCTGAATGCTGAGACCTACTATTTGAGGAAATTTGGCAATTGTTTTTGCAACCTCATTCCTTGCCAAACCCAAGCTCAGAAAGAATTGCACCGTTGGCTTCAAATTATGCTCAATGCTGTAGGTAAGAATCGGAGGACGAGCCACAATGGCCCTTGCAAGTTCGTGCTCAGAAAGTCCGGTCTCCAAAAACCACTGGAAAGTAGGTTTCAAATTCTTGGCAACACTGCAGTCCAGAATTGGCGGATAGTAAGCCAGGACTTTTGCAGCTTCAACGGTCGTCAACCCAAGGCTCAAAAGCCAAACTATTAGTGGTTGCAACTGTCTTTCAATAGAAATGCGTTTCCGGCACAACTTCTGCTCAACCAGCTTGATGCTGGCAGGGTTGAACCCTTCGGAGCCCAAGAAAACTGACATTTCTTCAGGCGTGTTTCGACCAGCCAGTAAGGCCGCTTTGCTACAAAATTCTTTGACTCGCGGTACGACCTTCATGCTTGCCTTGGACACTTGCTGTTGGAGGCGTTTTTCCGCCTTCGGCAACAGAGAAATATTCGGTTCTGCTAGCAGCCGTTGCAAAATGTATCTCAGGACCTTCCAAAGTGACTCTTGGTCCCCTAGACGCCACGTAGTCACATCGATCCAAATCACGTTTTTGTCGTCGGATTCTTTGGGTCTGCTTCTCGCGTGCCGAATGCGCACTATGCGTGAGCCTGCTGGAGCATATACCAGCAATGCAGCATTTTTCTTGTGGTCTTTCGCAATCCCAGCCGCTTCTCCATGCCTCCAGTACCCATCATACTCCACGAAAAGCGCTGCATTCTTCAGCACTCCATATGCCGCAAGATCTGGTTCCAAGTAATTCCCGCCCCAGCCCTTTGGCGCCGGAAAACTCCGAAACAACTCTTTGATCGGCGTTCGTGGCTTCAAAACCACTGCCAGCTGTGACAGCAATTCTGCCTCTGCCATACTTCCAACGCGATCCCTGGGCCAACCTCTCTGCCACCAATCTGGAACTGAGCTGATCCAACACACAGCTGCCCTCCCTTTCCACACGCCCGCCAGGTCTGCCACGCCATGGCGATAAAGGCAGGTGGTGATATGGAACATGTGGAGATGATGGAAACACCTGTGGGTCGAAACCAAACATCCTGGAAACCTCTTGAGCCTTAAACCTGGTGCCAACTAAGCCTGGCTGACCTTTGACCCGGGGGATGTCAAAGTCCATGTTTGCTGAGGACTGCTAGGGCCGTGGTTGGTTGAACCGCCAAACCTTCTGCAAATGTATTCGAGTAAATCAAATCTCTTAGTGCAAGATGTAAATTTCACAGCCAAAACCATCGCAATCAATCAAGAACACCCTATTTGCCCTTATGACTTTTAAAGGTTGAAATTGTGGACTGTGTTTTGTTTGCAGTTGTCATCCAAAGTCCATCACCTACAGGAAAAACGGAACAATCACCATCCCCAAGGTTTTGCGCACATCCAACTTCTACCACACCACAGCATCACGCGGTCCGATGCCATCCCTGTTTTTCTCCCTCCAAGGTTGGGGTGCTCGGAGACACATACGGCAGGCTGACACTGGAACTGCATCCTGTATGTGAAGGTTTTTGAGAGGGCGTACATGCTGGCTATGCTGGGTAGAGTCCTGCATTGCTTGGATATGGTTTCAATCATCCATTGATAGCATAGTAGAATCCCGCAATTTTCTTCGATCTTTGGGTGTAAATCCGAGCCCCTTGTAGTACGATTTATTCCGTTACCATTTTTTGATCCACAAATATCAACATCTACACGTATATGTCACATATACGTATGATTATAGTCGTTCTTTAAAGCAACTGGGCAACCTGACTGATCGTTGGTCCATGAGATAGATTTCCATCAGCCGGCCATAGAGCCACTAGGATTCTAATGAAAACTGCGGGCAAACTTGGAGAATCATTTTAACTAAGCCATGCATATCTCTCTGAATGACAACCTGAAATGTGGTCATTGACTGTAGTTACCCAAATGGGATTTCAAAATGCTAAACATTACATTCCATTAGATTCAATGATATGTCAAAACATCTTTCCATGATATTTCCATTGAATGATCATCATTGTCCATGACACTTCCATTACGTTCCTATTCGAACTTCGTCTTGTCTCAGTTCTGCGCCAGCATCAGCTGCCGATTTTTCGGTCGGATGACCTCAGGAATTGCCAGGGCCTGTTGGCTGCTGCGCAGCAGTTCCTGAGGCCATGGGGGATGGAATCAAGACACAAGGATTTACCCAACATGGGAATTGTGGAAAACTTTAAGGTTGGCCTCAATCTAAATCTGTATATATATATATAGATATGTAGATATTATAGTATGTATTGTTTACCTTGAAAAATGGGCCTGTACACGTTGAGAAGGTGATGTTCCACTTGGCTTTTGGCTTATGGCCAAGTGGGGGATCCATGTAAGATGCCTGCAGATAGTCGATCACGGGCGTGGTGCCATTCGACGCTTTTCGTTGAAACACCGCTAATATTTTGGCGAGAATGTGGCTTCCAATATTTTTTTTCACGCATACCTTGCAGAATTTTAGATCAAATTGCATTTCACCATTGGAATCCACTGGACTTACTGTAAACGAACCTTACATCACACTCTTGGCACTTTCCCTTCGGTCAAAAAAGGACAACAGAACGTGAAATCAACGAATTTTTGGAGTGTTGCTCTTTCTTATTAAACCCTACGCATCACTATCCCGCATGAACATTGGAAAATCGGATCAACTTAAAGGTCCACGCAAACAACTTGCTAGACTTGACTAGAGCCATATAACATGATATAACATGATATAACATGATATAACATGATATAAGTTACAGTATATAGATTTATAGTTCACATGGCACTTTACCCAAAAGAAACCATCCAGAAACCACCACCATCCCACCCCACCCCCTCCGCTTTCGCTGCCGAGGCGTCCGCGGCGCGGCGCAGCTCGTAGAGCTGCGCGTAGAGCTTCGGCAGCGCCGCGCCGCTGAGCTCCTCCAGCTGCCGCGCCTCGGAGGCGGCCGACAGGGCCTGGGCCACGGTAACGCGTCGTGACGCGTCGTGACGGGTTGTGGCTTGGGGAAACCCTGGGGGTTCATGGAAATTATATGGTGAAATGATGTGAAATGATGTGAAATATGATGTTTAACTGTTAAATGCATGATATGTTAGATGATCTTAGATTATGGAATTGAATTGACAGTAATTAACTATAATTATTAACTATATAATAATGATTTTGATGGGAAAATAGGATTTCATGGTGAGAGTCATTGGACATATTTTTGGTAAATTGGAGGAAATGGACATTTACAACCATTTCCTCCATGTAAATTTCCTAACTGGGATTGAAATGCGGGAAATTTGGCAAACCTTTACCAATATAAACCAGGATGAACATGACCCAAGCGATGGATTTAGCAACTTTTACCAAGGCGATTAGTAATTTGAGGAAAATGGGTAACCATCCAGACTTTTGGATGAATTTGGCCTAAATGATGGAAAACTGAATGAGCACACTTTAGTGGAAAAAATCCATGGAAAAATCCCAGCGGGATGTTTTCCGATAATCTAACCTGACAAGAAACAACCAACGGGAATGGACTTGAGATTGTCAGTTGCCAGATTTGATTGCCAAAGGGTGGAGGGGCTTGCGCTGGGGATGGGAGTATGAGTAAGAAATCGGCTGATATCTCAACCGAAAACCCAGACTTTCAACTGAGAAGATGGAGGCAGCAACAGAGTGAATGCAGGATCAGGCCATCTCTGCAGACAAGCAACTTTCACCAATGCCTCAGTTTGTTGCGTCGACAGAACCCAAAGCCCATGTTGAAAAAAGGGAGGAATGTCTTGGTATCAACGAGAACACCCAGACGAAAATGGTGTATACGTGGGGGAAAAACTGGTTTGTATTGTACGTTAAATTTCAAACACGAAGATGGATTGAATAAGTGTACCAAACAGATGCAAAAAACAATGAATTGTGCCTGTCCATGACTATCCAGCACCCTCCTCCCATCGCCTCCAATCAGCCCCACTTGTCCCCAAAAAAATCTATTCACCCACAATTTTTGTCAGAGCAAAAAACCAACAATTTTCCCTTCAACTTCAATTTTTTCAAGAGCACCCCTTCCAGTCTTATTATTTCTTATTCATGTTCTCTTCAACTCTCATATTTCCAACTTAATTTGACTAATTTCCTGTTTGACTCCAATTTTTCCAAGGTAACTCCCCATCTTTCCTTAATTCTGCATGAAATCCAATTTATCCCATGAAATTCCATGATTTCCATTTGAAATCCAACGAATTCGCCATAAAACCACCCTTTTTCGCCCTTTTTCTCCCGTTCCCTGCCACGTCCACCCGTTGAAACCGCCAAGGGTGCCGCTTGCCGCTGCACCAGCTCCGCTTGGCGCAGCTGCAGCGCCTGCGCCCGCTGCGCAGAGTCGGCGGCACGGCGACGGAGGGTGGAGGTCTCCAGCTGCAGCTCCTGCTTTAGGACCTGCGGAGAATAAGGAATGTGATGATGTAAATGTATATATATATATATGCTATATATACTATACATGTAATTATGCATATATGATTATACATATTTGATTATATATGTATGTGTGTGTGTTATGATATTTACTTCTTTAAGGTGCTGTTTTCTTTAGTATTAAGAGACGGATATATTGAAGAATATGTGATTCATTTTCTAGATTGGTCTTAACATTATAGAATCTTGGTAGGAATCTAATGAAGAAGTGATCAGAACTTGAAGTGAGTACTAATTAGGGATGTAAAATGCATCTATGAATTTGCCGATTTGACTGCAGCCTGGTGTTGAACTGTCAAAAGGTTGGACGAATCATTGACGAATTCAATATAGTTTCATATTATTTGGTCTTATCATATGTGGTTTGGCTCACGAAATGGTTGTGTATCTACCCTGGAGGCTAGCAGATCCGCATAAGACATGTATATTGACAATACATAAAGTTGGTAGGAACCCACTAAACCAGTGACAAAAGGAACTATGGTGTTTAACTGACATTTAATTGGAGGGTTTGAACTCCTATCGATTTTTGGACTTGTGGATTTAGAATCTAACATGTAATACACCTATAGCATCCTATAGCCTATAATTATCAATTCTGCTATTTGCATGGTCGATGTGTCATACCTGTCGGATCTACAGACCGATCCAAGCCAAGCGTCTTCAGCCCGTGCAGGGAAGGACTTCCTCAGAGGCGCAAGCTGAGAAGTGGCAGCTAGATGGTCTTCCGGGATGCCCGAGATTGCCCAACCCAACAGTTGGGGGCGCAGTCAGACAAGACTAACACGCTTTTACCTTAAGCCCCGAGGTTCAATTTCCGTGTTAAATTCGTCCCACTTCTTGTTGCTTAAAATGCCGTACTACCCATCATTCTTGGTGGAAAAAAACTTCGTAAAACAGCGGTTCAACCACTAAACCCACCATGTTTTGCCACTTAACACGGTTTTTTTTGGGGCCCCAAGACTTTCCCAACCCGTCCCACTTAAAATCGCCCGTTTTGTAGCTTCAAGACCACACTCTTGCCGTGCTTTCCCAGTTGAATCAGAATTTTTGTGGCTTCACAATCCACCTTCAAAATCCTCCAGTTGTTGGTTCCAGCAACAGTTCGATCACTAGCGTTGCCCAGCATCTCCGCTAAATGCTTTAGGAAGTCCTGCCGACATTGCAGGCTAGCGATGCCCGATCCTGAGCAAAAAGAGCAAAAAATTGGGGGTGACCCACAAAAAGAGGTGGGTTTATGGTTTGGACCACACAAAAAGATGATGTGAGCCCCACCAATTTGTTGATGAATGGTGGGCTTAACGTGCAAACAAGGATTCAAGAAGCAAACACTGGGATTTAAGCGACATGTGGGCTGATTCTCAGCTGGTTGGATCCCCAAGTCTCAATAACCCTTCGATCTAGTGGGTAAACGTTTATGATGTGGAAAAAAAACATGGTTTCCTTAGGAAAAACCATCTACAACCAGTGGCATTTTCCACATCTGTGTTAGTTCTCCTGCAGGGAAAAATCATATCGGTTGAAAGCCTGATTTTTGTTCATTCCAACCGATGACCCAGTCATAAAGGGCGTATGACTGTTGTTTGAATTCCCGGTTTGAACCTATCATGATTGGTTCATGTCGCTTTGAATTCCCCGGCTCTGGTGAAATCCCGTAACGTCTGCAAAGGAAACTTCAGTGATGACACTCCCTGAGTGAAGTCCTCTCCAGGTCATCTGCCGATTGAACACTTCCATCAAATACCATGAAATATCCACAATTAATATTGCATGGAAGATCATGGAAGTTTACAATGCCATTCATATCCCATTTATAATACCCTATTGATCTTTCCCTGCCATGGTATTATACAATCAGAATACATCAAAAATAAATTGGAAGATTAATCTTAGCATTATATCATCAAACATATAAATGATGATAATGATGCTATATACCATCACTAATTTATGCCATCAAAGGTTCTCAGCATTCTCAGGCATAATGCTTGATAAAATTTCCCATCAAAAGCCACCAACTACCCATTAAAATAACCATTAAAATCCGATTAAAATCCCTATAATATCCCATTAAATCATTGCAAACCCATATAATCCCATTAATATTCCATCAAATACCATAATCAAATCCCTATCAATCCCATTAAATACCTATATATGAATGGTATTCTGTGGCATAAACCATTCATATCCCGCCCTATAAATCCACTATAAATCCCCCATTAACATCCTATATATCCCATTAAAATCCCATTAAATCATTCCAAACCCAGAGAATCCCTGATCATCCCATTGAAATTCCATCAAATACCATCATCAAATCCCTATCAATCCCATTAAGTACTTCTATGAATGGTATTGTATGGTATAAACCATTCATATCCCCTATAAAATCTATAATAAATCCACTATCAATCCCCTATAAAATCCACCATTAACATCCCACGAAAATCACCATGAACGACCATGGATCTCAGCGCCGCCACCCGCTTCGCCAGCTCCGCCGGCGCCACCGAGGTGGCCTTGGAGGAGCTCAAGGGCCTCGCGGCGGCGGGGTTTTTGGAGGCTTTTTATGGGATGCTAATGCTGATAAAAATGGGATTCTTATGGGATTTTCTATGGGATTTTTGTGATTTTCTATGTTTAAAAAAAAAACAATGAGACTGAATTGGAATTGAAATGGGATTTTGATGGGATGGACATGTGGTTTTAATGGCAATTTGAAGGAATTTGAATGGGATTTGAACAGCCGAAAACAGGATTTAACAATCAAAACGCGGTCAAGCAGCGAAACATGCTGAACGCACACTTTTCGGGATCAGAAATGAATGTAGCTAAAACTCTTTGGATGGTTGTGAATTTTGTGATTGCTTGGAGAAAAATCAGGGAAATGCAGTAACATTGACAAACCCAATTTTGGCTTTCAGCAGCAAATTAAGGAGACAATTCCATATCTAAAGATACGTTCCTTTACTTTGCCTCGTAAAATAAGGATTCTTTTTGCTGTTACTCGCCAAGCAAGTTCTGCGTGCCAACGAGGTGCTGCTCAAGCAAGTGCAAGGAGCTTGGGGACAGCTTGGACATGTGACCTGAGTGATAGAGACATGTGATCTCGTTTATCTGGGAAGTGTATATATATATATACATACGCATATCATGCATATACATTTTTTCAAAACATGTTTTAGCTAGTATTGACTGCTATCAAAATGAAGCCGTGAAGCATTAAACTATCTGCTAAGGATTTCACACGGACAAGGGATTGTTGGACCAAATTGTTGGGATTCTTTTCAAATGCCACCAGCATCTGGCAAGTGGATGTGTCTGAAAATGGGGCAATATCTCTTAATGGCATTTCTTTAAATAATGAACCTTCTCATAAACTATTGTTTTTTGTTGTTTTTTTTTGGGTACCTTATTTGCAAACCCACGTTTCTTGGCGAAGTCTCTCGCAAATTCCGAGTCCAATGATCTCTCGAAAGATCCGCGCTGTGTATGTTGTTCTTTTTTATGGCTTAAACATAGATACTGCGGCAAAGCTAATACCATAAACCTACTATTTAAGGGGATGGTTTCTAGTTTTTAGCACCCATACAAATGCTGATGACATCTGGGGATGGTTTATGTATTCTTGGCTTCATGGCTTCACACAATTGCTAATGTGGTACTGGTATCAACCCCAAAATTTATTGGATGTTTATTTTCATAAATGTTGGTCAAACAGCGTCATAAAATGTCATAAACCATCCCCACTTTCACCATTTTTATAGGTGGTATGTTTACCATTCCCAGGGTCATGGACGGTTGATGATTCTTCATTGTAGGCCTGGTTGGTGGTTTCACCCCCTGAAAAATATGAAAGTCAGATTGGATCATCATCCCAACTAGTGGGGAAAATAAAAGCCATGTTCCAAACCACCAACCAGCAGTAATATACAATCATGTTTCAACCAATCTCTCTCCCCATCGCCAGAAACCAATCATCAGAGGCTTTCACTAACCACAAAAAAACCACTTCTTAACATCTATTAACCACTATTAACCACATTTTTGGTATTAATTAACCACTATATAGGCTTTCATCCCCCAAAAAAACATCACCGATTTTCATCACCGATTTCCAACCCCCGTTTCCAGGCGGGCCGCCATAGCTGGACGCCTTCTCGGCGGCGGCCTTCTTCGGCAGCTCGATGAGCGTCAGGAAGGACTTGGAGGGATTCACCTCGGGAAATCTCCAAAGATAGCTATCCCATAGGAAGATCCGGCTGGTGCTGGTGCTAACATGACTGGGGTGTATATTGATGGGATCCATGGCACACCAGAAAAAATAGCAGCACCATGGATCCGTCATGGCTATGGAACATGTTGAAAAAATGGTTTGTTTACTTCGATGATGTGTGATATTTTATAATGACGCACCGGTGTTTGAAAATATCTTCAGAAACCAGAGGGAAAATAGTTGATTGGTGAAGCCCATGTCTCCAACATGGAGACACACAAATTACTTGGTGGCTCAAACCCCGGAAAAAGGTCAGGCCCTAGATGGTTTCAGTTAGGACCGTCCAGTGGGGTGAACTGACCCTGCCTTGAAGGCCACCAACGAGCGGAGAAACGTCCATATGCACATGGGAACATTGTCTGGAGAATCGTCAATCATTTCCACCCCTAATGTGCGCGTTTGAAAATACCTAGATAAATACCTAGATACCGGTAAATAAATAACTAACTAAATAAATAAATAAATACACGCACACACATTGTTTGTGGAAAGGAACACATCATGGATCCCTTCTAATCAACACCCCTGGTTTAGTCTCTCTCTCCCCATCTATCACGGCTTGCTTTCGAGCTGCTGTGGCTCTAGGTTTTGCATCCTTGGAACTCCTCTCCATTCGCAGCAGCAAGCCAACGCCTGCCGCTGCGGGTGGAATGAACGTTACCATACATGTTTTTAAATGGTTAGCACATCTCCCTATGAATTGCATAGAACATAAATCATGTTAGTAAAGCAATGTCATAAACCAAACTGGATTGATTCTTTGGCATCCAACCCCAAAAAAATGATGATGTTGGTGATGGTAGCCTGTTATTACTCAAAAGATCTCAACAAACATAACTATAGCTACTATTGAGATAGTAACTTGGTAGCAATGATATTACTATAGTTACTATATAAGCAACGATAAACATAAGTTATGATTACTATCATTGCTATTTTCCATAGTTCTGTTTATCGTTTTCCTATCACTTTTTAGTCGCAACGATCCTTCCATGTCACCCAGCCTTGGTCCACCCGGCTCCAACCTTGGACAGCGAGGTTCCCAGGGATCTTTTTGATGACATCTGACTATCTATGACTATCTCACTCAATGGATTGGTTTAAGGGAAAATCTTAACCGGAAACCCATGGGTTTTTACCATCAAATATAGGGGTTTCCTGTAAATTTTCCCATCATCCAATTCTATGACTCACCATTTGCTATACCCTCTGGTAATGACTAACATAGCTATGGAACAATCCACCCATTTTTTATGGGAACATCCACTATTTCTATGGCCATTTTCAATAGCTATGTTACAAATTACCAGAGGGTACCAACCATATGTTTAAAGATCTTTAAAGATCCAAATGACTGTCTCCAACATCAACTTTGCTAATGGTAAAAATACCGTTCTTGTTTCCATAGACATCTCCATTTTGTTGTTCACTTCCGGCATTTTCCTCCATGGCTTCGTTTCAGAAATTCCGGATCAACCAGTTGGCTTTGTTTCGTGGTTCGTTTCAACGTTTGATATGGCTTCATTTCAGAAATTCCAACGCAGGTTCAACCATATCAAACTCCCTACTTGTTTGGCATCTTCAAATCCCCACTTTCCACCAACTTCCCCAGTAAAACCCACCATTTTCTCAAGTTTCCTAGTAAAACTCACCACTTTCCACACATTTCCCCTGTACCCTTTGGTAATTTGTTACATAGCTGGGCCATGGCCCATTTCATTCGTTGATGTTTGTTGATTTACTGGTTGGTGGTTTCAACCCCTCTGAAAAATTTGAACGTCAATGGGAAGGATTATCCCATATATGAAATGGAAAATAAAAGTCATGTTTGAAACCACCAACCAGTTGTTATAAATGGGTTATATAATCCCATTAAGTATAGATATAAATGGTGATTTTCCAGTCCGCAAACGGTGAACGCCCTGCATTTTCCAGTTCACTGGCGAAGTCCATGTCGTTGGAGCGCGTCTCCGCCAGCGTCGTCACCGTGGCCAGCCCGCCGGCGCTCAGCGACACGTCAATGGAGGCTAAGAGGCTGCGGGTGTGCACCTGGTATCATCAAAATTCTAGGGAAAAATGGTGATTTCATGGGATTTTACTGAGATTTTACTGGGATTTTAAAAGTGTTTAAACCTACTGGGAAGGTCGGAATAACATGGAATAACGGGATTTCATGGGATTTTATTATGGTTAAATAGTGATTTAAATGATCATGACCTATAATCATAGGAGTTTAGTGGTTTCATAGTGATTATCATCCCGGGAAAAGTGATTATGATGACATTAGTGGGAGCATCCCGTAGCTGGAGGTAGCTAACATGTACAAAAGTCACACAAGACCTCGAATGTCTTGGTACATCAATCTTCCATGGTGGGTCAGGTGCTGCCAGCGAACTATGAGCCCTGAGCGGTCGCCCAAACTCTCCAGTCGCACGAACTCGTCGGGAGTGGATTTGTTGCACATCAAATCGATCTCTTCCAACACTCCTTGGGGGCTGCTGCTTACAGGACCCCTGTGTCAGGGAACATCCTAAAGATTTATCTAAGTTCAAGATAGGTGCTTGATATCCAGCTATAAGATAGGTACGCTACGCTTGGTACGCTTGGTGCGCTTGGTACGGTACGCTTGGTGCGGTTGGTACGCTTTGGGTAGGTACGCTTGGTATGCTTAGTAAGGTGCGTTTGGTACGCTTACCAACCGTACCGACCGTACCAACCGTACCAGTGAACCGTACATAACCGTACCACCGTGGCGTACCAGATTAAGGGGGGGGTCAAAGGAGTATTGGTACATCCAAAACGCCCCCCCCTTGACCCCCCCTTAATCTGGTACGCCACGGTGGTACGGTTATGTACGGTTCACTGGTATGGTTGGTACGGTCGGTACGGTTGGTAAGCGTACCAAACGTACCTTACTAAGCGTACCAACCGTACCGTACCAAGAAAACCAAACCTACCAGCCGTACGTACCAGACATGTTTGGATCTTACTTAAGGCCTCTACCACCTATCTTGAACCTAGCTAACTAAAGATCGCAGATGGCCCTACCCGTGGTTCGTGCACTGGCTGGTAAAGCATGACACATTTGATTCACAAACACAATAGTAACCCAAGTTTTTACATTCGGTGGTGCGAAGATGAACACTTGCAAAATAATGGCACGATTTATATATGCGTTTGCATTGCACATTTGTTGTTGGTTGAATCACGTTTTCAATTCTGTTTGAACCCCGGACTTTCCTGCTACACTCAGCAAAACAACTTTGTTCAATTTAAAGCCGGAAGCAAGAGGATTTTGCTGTACTCCTTGCGCACTTCATTGCAAATGCTTGCAATGCAGTTTTACCGTATAGCGACCCCCCAAACATTCAAAACATAGAACCACAAAATCCATTGAAACAACAATTTACAAATCACATTCAATGTCCATGAAATCCCATAAAATCCCAGAAAATCCATCTAAATCTGCCATAAAATCCATAATTTCATGGTAAAATCCCCCCAAAGCCCCATGGTATCCCCCCATTTTTCCGCCCCAAGCGTCGCGCCGCCACGGCGCCCTGGGCGCCGTAGGGTCCGATGGCCGCCTCCAGCGCCAGCAGCTCAACGTTACCGCGGCGCGCGGCGCGGGCGATGACGAGGAGTGGAGAGGAACAGCAGACCTGCAACCGATGGGTTAACATACTAGAACATACCCTCTGGTAAACTAACATAGCTATGGAAAATGGCCCATTTATAGATGGTTTACCTATTAAAAATTGTGATTTTCTATAGCTATGTTAAATTACCAGAGGGTATCTGGTTGGTGGTTTGAACCCCTCTGAAAAATATGAAAGTCAGTTGGGATGATGAACTTCCCAATATATGGAAAAATGAAAAATGTTCCAAACCATCAACCAGATATAGTATAATAATATTACAATAATGTGGTATATTATGGTTGCAGGTACATTAGTTGGAGGGATCTATGGATTAGTACATGTTAATAATCCATTAATGTGGGTAAAACATGTCATAAACCATCCCGCTAATCACAATTTTTGTAGGTGGTATGTGTACCATTCCCAAATGGGTGGTTTATTCTTGTTTTACCCACATTAGTAATATTACGATAATGTGGTATATCATAGTTGCAGTTATATTAGTTGTAAATTAGTGGTTCATCATATTCCCATCTGTGGTCATTTATGGTAAAATAATTCACTGTTGGAAGCCCAATGCCATAAACCTACCACTTGGGGATAGTTCATGGCATTGGGTTTACCACACAAACCTCAATTTTTCCCTTAATAGTCCAGTAATATCCAATCAATATCCAATTAATATCCCACTGGAATCCCATTCAAATGTCCATCATTATAATCATTTACATATATATATATACTATTCTATACTGGTCCCATCGTATCCTAGCTACTAAACGGGGGGTTCTGAAGTCATGGGGGGTCCCCAGTGGTCACCCGACGTTAGCCTATACTAAGTCATGGTCATCCATGACGACTGCATGATGCAAGGGGTAATTATATAATCCATCAAAACCCTGAAGTCCTAAACTTAAAATAACTGCTTATTCCCCAAATATGGGATAGGTCAAAACCTTTTTTTGTACCATAACAATGGCTGGTATAGGTGGATGGTTATTCCCCAATCATATCTGGGTAAATTAAAATCTTTCACTAACCTGAATTAAGGCCATTTGGGGATAATTTCCCTTACTAACCATGATTTCCAGTCTTCGGTCGCAGTGAGGTCGTTATAATTTACCCAGTCATACGGTAATCCTGTCCCCAGCCATGGCACCAGTGACGACTTCCCACCTGCAAGCTGCAAAAGCTGGAGGAGCTGCGCTCGGATGAAACCGAAACGGCTTCCTCCACGACTTGCTCCAGCAGCCCCGTGGAGGACCTGGGAAAAACATGGCTGGAACATGGGGAAAAACGCAGGACAAAATGGTGGATTTTTGTATGGTGAATCTATACGGTGGATTGATGTTTGGTGGATGTACTGATATGAATTACTACTTCGTGCAGTTGGTGTCAAATAGATAGATAAATGGGTGGAATACCATGGTGACAGCCTGATAACCGTACAACTATATATAGTTAAGTTAAGTTATGTATCATTATATGTCATTGTATGTCATTGTATATCCAATCAAAACTTAAACTGCACCCCACAGTAAGGCTGATATTTTGGGGTTGTAAACACCGGGGTAATCAATTACCTGACTCAAATAATTCAAAACTGGACCAATTAAGGATTGAAACCCATACCCATGTGATTTGCAGGTGTGCAAATCAAGCCAATAAGTTTGAAAAGCTCGCAATTCTGGACAATAAGCCATGTGAAAAGCAAACTGCCTAAGAAATCTGCAATATCACTGTAAGAAACAGCCTGAAACCGTGACCCCAAAGGAGAACGCATGAAAATCATGAAAATCCGCATGTCTTACCCCAGACTCAGCACGAGTTTAAGGCAGCCAAAGTGACAAAGAGAAGGGCTGGGCTCCCCCATGCAGATGATGCCTTGGAGCCATCCCCAACCGGCCGTGATGAGACAATAGTTGACCAGTGCTCCGGGAACAGAACATGGCTTGCTTTTCTGACATCTTTTTGGTAGGTTCGATCTGACCAACATCTTTTGATCCAAGTACAAGGTCCAAAGCAGTTCACCGTCCATGTTTCTCCAAACAGCCCATATCAGCCCATGGTATCAGAGGGCTTGGTTAAATAAGGTGGGGCACTCCATTAACACCATTAATTTCACCCGCTCATGGCAATTTTTGGGTGGGACTTTCCATCATATCCCCCATGATCTCACCACAACACCATCCACATCATTATATCCTATTTAAAAAAACCATCATTTCCTAGAAATTCAATATATCCCATAAAAAAATCCCACTATAATTCCCTATATCCATAGGATTCCCACAGGATTTCCCCAGGTTTTTTCTGCTCAGCCTATAGCCTGAGAAGACCATCCACCAGGTCGCCGGTGTCTCAGCAGCAGCACCTCCTCCACCTGCGACGTCTGCAGCTGCCCCGCCAGCTGCGCTGCGAAGTCGTCGCTGGACGCGGCCTGCGCCAGCGCCAGCTGCAGCGCCTCGCAGCTGCGGCGGCCTGGGCAACGGAGGCCACGGTGAGAGGGGCGAAGTTGGTGAACAATCATGGATAAATGTGGGTTTATGGTCATTAAATGTGGTTTTTATGGTGATTAAATTGAGTTTTTTTTTTGTGATTAAGTGGGATTTTAAGATGTTTATGGTGATTAATTAGTGTGTTATATGGTTTTTATTGCGATTATAACTGTGGCTAGATGGTTTCTACTCGGTGTTCAATATGAAGGGGGAAAGAGTTGGGAAGAAATTATCATACAAACATGTGGGTATTTGGGGATTTAGGTAGATTTTGCAAACTTGGGCCGGTTCAAATATCTTTAACGGAATCCCAAGATAAAACAAGGTTTCTTTCAACCAGCAACCGACGTGGTTTTGGCAAGGGAAAACTGAAACGTGAAGGTATTAGTGGAAATGTTCAACCAAAATCCAACCAAAGCTAAGTCATTGTGCAAAATATCAATTTGTTCCCCTACCATTCACCAAGATGCTCAGTACCGCTGCCGAAGGCAGCACCGGATTCCGATAGGAGATGCCTTGGTCAACCACGACGGTTGAAGCAACCAGGCATGGAGATTCTCATAGATTCTCAACTTTACCAAAAATTGATCCTGCTACCCTCTGGTTATGTCAAAATAGCTATTGAACATGGCCATATAAAGTTCGCGAGTTTTCCCATTTTTTAATGGTGGATCTTTCCATCGTTTTTTGTTACCGTTTACCAGAGGGTCTATCCTGCCATTGGCTACAGATACCCTCCAGTAAATTAACAGTTCGACCCTGGCAGTCATCGGGGTTGGAAGATTAGTTTCCACTCAAAATTGGCGATTTTCAGGGTCAACAAGTTAATTTACCAAAGGGTATATCCCATTCATATCCCATTGAATCACTATAAATCCCATTGAATCACTATAAATCCCATTAAATCCCATTAAATCACTATAAAATCCCATTAAATCACTATAAATCCCATTAAATCCCATTAAATCACTATAAAATCCCATTAAATTTACCAGAGGGTATCTTCCCCCGACCTGCCCGACACAACCGGAGGCCAGGCAACGCCCCGAGGCGGCCAGGAAGACGACCGTCATCGACAGCCAGAGATCCTCCGGGGTCTCGCCGCGGCCGTCCTCGTTGGGCGCCAGGAACTGGAAGTCCACGGAGATCTCGGCACCTGGGTTGAAGGTCGTGGTGAGACCAGGTCGGAAGGCGTTAAGTTGGTGTAAGATGGTGTAAGGGGCAGGTTAACTATAGGATACTATAGGGTTTATGGTAGATTGATAGTTTTTTTTTTTAAATATATAACACACAACAAAATAATATAATTAGATGGGATTGTTAAGCAACTATATAAGTAGGGTTATATTGTAGATATCTCTCTAGTTAATGGTTGATGTGAATGGGGATTCTGAACTGAACTATGGCTTATGGCTTATGGATGCTTATGGATGCCTATGGCAAGTCTATAAGGTGTGGATTAAGAACATTTATATAAGAAGTGGATCAAGGTACAAATGTGATTTTAAAAAATAAGGTACAAATGTGGATCTGGATCATTTATAGTTGTGGATCGTAAAAGATGATCTAAGCAAACATGCAGGGACATTGCTGCCGATTGTACGCTGCCGATTTAGGATTTGTTGTCAGGATCCCCGTGGAGGCTCACTGGATCATTCACCCCTCATGAATTGTTTCTGACGAAATTCCATTGACATGTCCAGTATTGGCACTGTCCCATTTCTCTTTGTTTTCCTGGTTGGTGGTATTTCAACCCCTCTGAAAAATATGAAAGTCAGTTGGGATGATTATTCCCATTATGGAAAATAAAAAATGTTCCAAACCACCAACCAGGTAAGGCTACACCTGTTTGGCTTTGACAGTTGTGGCCATTTTCAATAAACTATAAACGGCCATGTTCAATAGCTTTGTAACAAATTACCAGCGGGTATCTGTTTGTTTTCTGTTGCTCAGACAGGTGTTTGTTGGGTATGATTTGACCTCAACGGCCGCGGCCTTGTGCAAGGTCCGTTTAAGCCATCTCTCAATAATGCACTCCCTTGTCAGTTGGGCACCAAAATTTACAGATCCAATTTAAAGCCAGAGTTCCTGGAGGTGTTTATTATAGCTATGATAAATTTCATCATGTGAGGAACGGGATCTGCACATCTTCCCTCTGTGTTAGATGGGTCAAGATGGGTACTGAGTTGATCATCCACCGCAATTTCATCTCTACTATCTGGTCGGTGCTGGGTTCATAAACCACACAAACTATCCCAATTGCAAAGTAGATCATCAAAGTAGATATCCCTATGGGATATCTTTATTAGATGGCTTATAATTGGGATTTGCAAACATCAGTCAATAGCTAACAAACTCCACGACAGATCTACAGTTTTTGCCCTTAACAATTCTTAACAATCACAAATGGGATTGATAACAATGATATATCACCTTAGTTATATGGAGTTATGTCATATGATTTTTTTTTAAAATGATTTCATAGCATTTTTAAGTGTTTTTCTTGGGCCATGTGAGGCCATGTCACTGTAAGATCTATAGATTTCGGCCTGGGATAGCCATGGGATAGCCATGGGATAGCCATGGCACCCATTAATGGTGCCGGGAAGTGGACTTCCGGCTCATCCAAGGACAGCGCCAAGTTCCTGGGATGGGATGGGCCCCATCATGGGAGTCCTGGGGATTGAACAAAAAAGATGGATGACTTTTTTGGATCCTGGAGCCTATAACATATATATATAGATATAATTATATATAATATATATATATGATTATAACTTATAACTGAATTCAGTACTATAACTGAAGTCAGTCTAACATATATATATATGTGAATGATGTGGCTATATGCATATATAAATATTACTGAATTCAGTACTGTAGATGGATGTGTCTTTTTTGTTTAGTGGATTGTATCCATAATTGCATTATAGATGGTATGATGGATTGGATTAATCTTACCCGAACTCAGAAATATCTCTCCGGGGCATGATTGGATTCTAGGTGGATTGATGCTAGATGGGTTACAAATGGATTCCGGATGGATTGTTGCAGAAGCTTAGACTACAGTGTAAAATTGTAAGCAATGAGTTGCAAGTGGATTACCACTTTGTAGGTGAGGTTAATACATTGATAATCCAATTCGTGGTTAGTTACTGGTATAGAATTTCTCTCTAGATTATTGATTTTTAAACAAACAACAGTAGCTGACTTCACTCAACCTGGGCTCCACAAGGTGGACCGCCCGCAGCCACCGCCACCCAGGAGGGTACCCCCCCCAAAAAAAAGCGGCTTAACAAAGCAAACATCAGCTGTGATGATTATGAAGTGCTTATTGGTAAGGCTACACCTGTTTGCTGGTGGTTTTAACATGTTTTAACCATCTTGAAAAATATGAAAGTCAATGGGAAGGATTATCCTATATCTTACGGAAAATAAAAGTCATGTTTGAAACCACCAAGCAGTTTGGCTCTGACAGTTGTGTCATGTTGTGTCAACCAGGCTGAACATGGTGCTCCGTGATGGTGGTTTTGATACCAACGGACGACGCTCCAAGGTTCAACAACGACCAACTGCCATCGCTGAAGAGGACGCCGAGATGCGCCTCGGGCATGGTCCGAATGGTGTCCTATTGCAAGTGGTCAACATAACTCATAACTCAGAACCCATATATAACAGTATATAACTGGGGACACAACCCAAATATGTCAGGTAATTCATATGGTTAAACTAATTAGCCGTTTATTATCTGAGATGCAAATCCATCAGGTCTGCCACCAGTTAGTAAATGGTTTATAAGCCGGTAATTATTCAACATCAATTAAATTATACCCCCTGGTAAATAAACATAGACCCTGGCAGTCATCGGGGTTGGAAGACTAGTTTCCATTAAACATTGGTGATTTTCAGGGTCTATGTTTATTTACCAGAGGGTATATCCCATTCATATCCCATTGAATCACTATAAAATCCCATTAAATCACTATAAATCCCATTAAATCACTATAAAATCCCATTAAATCACTATAAATCCCATTAAATCACTATAAAATCGCATTAAATCACTATAAAATCCCATTAAATCACTATAAAATCCCATTAAATCACTATAAAATCCCATTAAATCACTATAAAATCCCATTATAATTGGGGCATAATATGGGTGCACATCCAAGTATACAGTCTATCTGAGTCTATCTCTCTCCATCGCCAGGGGTCTCCCTTGGTGCAGGCGGCGTCTGTAGAATAGTCTCTCTCAGTCTGTAAGCAGGATGCCGACGATTCCCCTTTTAGCATGTCAAGGCTACTCATTAATCTTAGATACCCTGCAAAGTTGCCATATTTCAGCTTGGATGTTTACATTTTTTTTTCGCAACAGCTTCAGGGTATCAGAATACACGCCAACACTTGTATTGCAACTTGCTTTACCTCATGATTAGCTATCATTTTTTGATGGCAAAACCACCATCTTTGCGGGTAAAATCATGTAAACTCCCCATCTTTTGCCATCCAAGTGACATCGCTCATGGGATGCCATGCCACCTTCACCAGCTTCTGCCCTGGTCGCGGCGACACTACCAGGGCCTCACGCATCGGTTTGGCAAGCGACGACATCATTGGACATAGCTTTTCTTAAAATCGGCTCGACATCGGAAAACCTCCGAAACCATTGAAATCATGTTTTTCCATAGATTTTTTCAAAAATGTTTTCCCATTGTTTTTCCGTGACTTTCCCAGGCAAAAATCCAGCCGCCCAACCTCCGATTTCTCGAGTCGTGTCTCCAGCTTCGCTGAGAGCTCGCTGAGCGCCACCACAGCGCAACAGCTGGGGGAGAACAGGGCCAGAGCGCGAGCACCGGAGGCCACCAAAATCCTGAGATTTTGGGAAGTCTTTGCGGGGAAAGCTTGGCAAAGATTTATGAAGGCTTGGTTTGAGTAGATATGAGTAGATATGAGGATGATCCCCTATATCTAAACCATAATTCCTGTGAGGTCGCAATGAAGTCGGTATAATTGATCCAGATATGTGTATATTATTTGTGCGATTCTCTTAAGCTTGTCTGTATATTGTATTGATGTGGCAAGGGGTTTTAGTTTATATTGTCTGAATCATCTTACACCGTTTAGATATTAAATATGTTTCCAACAACAATATTTTTCTTATTCGTGGTCAAACTATTGCCATTGACAATTATGTGAGATCTGGGCAATCTTGGACAAACATCGCTAGTAGCTACCCCATCTGCACCTTCCGGTCATTACACTGAAAAAATCATTCATGAAATTCAGAAATGTAGATTGATAAGTTGACGAATGTGGGTAAAAATGGGTAAAACAATGCCATTTTTACCACCCATGACTGGGAATGGTAACCATACCACCGTACCTATAAAAATTGTGATTTGGGGGATGGTTTATGACATTGTTTTGCCCACATTATAGGATAGTTATAGTTGATTTACCTATAAAGGATTGTGATTTTCCATAGCTATGTTAGAAATTCAGAAATGTAGATTGATAAGTCTATTCAAAACTCTCATTTTCCAGTTCCTGGTCAACTCCTTCCAAGCGACTCTTCGAAGGGCGCTGGTGCCTCCTGTGCGTCACCCGGGAACTTCCTTGGAAATTCGCTATGGCACTTGTGGCACGTCTTCCTATGAACCTGGGGTAGTATATTACACACACACACACATGTTTACACACACACACATATATATATACATACATGTCGTTTAACTTTTCTGGATTCGAACCCGTAGAATTAGCAACATCGGGTCTAGAATGAAAAAACTGATGGGGTGCAGGAATTATTGCAGATTTTTTGTTTTATGGAAAAATCTGGGATGTGTGCAGAGATTTCAGCAACAAACCGGCTGACCTGCTGATGGTCCCATAGGTATGGGTAAAATTTGGACCATATCCTCCTGAAGATTTTCATGGTCTTTGATCAACCTTTTTGTCGGTAGATTCTGATTTTTCCTCCAAAACCTTCATGAAATATAGTCTGGTTGGTGGTTTTAACCATCTTGAAAAATATTAGTCAATGGGAAGGATTATCCCGTATCCCATAAATTATGGAAAATAAAACATGTTTGAAACCACCAACCAGCAGTCATTCACTAAAGAACTCGGTATCAGTTCGCTAAGGTTTTCACTATCCTCCAGATAGTTCACTCAAGTACACTTGATAATAGTTCACTAACCTGAAGAGGTTATAGCTCATCCACCGATGTGGCCGAACACGGCGTAGATCCATGGCCCCAAGCGATCTAAATGTAGAGTCAGCTGGGGTGTGCTTAAGATGGCCTTTCCTCCGAAAAAAAATCAACATATGACATATTCCCATATATTTCCCATATATTTCCCATATATTTCCTATATGTTTCCTATATGTTTCCCATATATTTCCCATATATTTCCCATATATTTCCTATATGTTTCCTATATGTTTCCTATATATTTCCCATATATTTCCTATATGTTTCCTATATATTTCCTATATGTTTCCTATATGTTTCCTATATATTTCCCATATATTTCCTATATGTTTCCTATATATTTCCTATATGTTTCCTATATGTTTCCTATATATTTCCCATATATTTCCTATATGTTTCCTATATATTTCCTATATGTTTCCTATACGTTTCCTATATATTTCCCATATATTTCCTATATGTTTCCTATATATTTCCTATGCTTCCTATATGTTTCCTATATATTTCCCATATATTTCCTATATGTTTCCTCTAGATTCCCCAAGTGGTGAAGTTATTCATTTGCCAATGGGAAGTCAAGTCATCCAAGTCTCACATCCAGCTGCAACTTCCGCTGCGCAAAGTCCTTTCCTCGGTGCATTTGTACAGATTCTGCAGTGACCCTCTGGGAATATTGAAAAAGGTGGATTTTCCATAAGAAAATGGTGATTTACCCATTGAAAATGGTGATTTTCCATAAGAAAATATTGAAAATTGTTCATTTATACTGGATTTACCCATTGAAAATGATTGAAAATGGTGATTTTCCATAAGAAACTGTAAACGTTTACTAAAGGGTAACCATTAAACATCGTCAAACTAATCTAGTTGGTGGTTGGTTTCAACCCCTCTGAAAAATATGAGTTCGTCAGTTGGGATGATGACATTCCCAATATGATGGGAAAAATAAACGTCATGTTCCAAACCACCAACCAGATCAGCAAACTAATAACAAATAACTTCGCCAGGTCTTTCTGTCTCTTTGTGTTTCCTCAGGGCTACATGGATGAATGGCCGTTTATATCCGCTTATCTTTGTTGTTGTGTTCCTGCGTGGTGACGTGTTGTCTATTTATCCGTCTGCCTATCTATCTATCTATCTATCTATATCTATATCTCTATCTATCTATCTATCTATCTATATCTATATCTCTATCTATCTATCTATCTATCTTTCTATCTTTCTATCTTTCTATCTTATCTATCTTATCTATCTATCTATCTATCTACCTACCTACATATCTATCTATATCTATCAATCCATCCATCAATCTATTTATCTATCGGTCTGTCTATCTATCTACAATATCTATCTATCGATCGATCGATAAATCCATCCATGAATCTGTCTGTCTATCTTATTCTATGCTATCCTATTCTACTCTACTCTAAGTCTATTCTATTCTATTCTAGTCTTGTCTATTCCATTCTAGTCTATTCTATTCTATTCCATTCCATTTTATCTTTCTCTCTCTCTCTCTCTCTCGCTGGGCTTCGCCGTCTATCCCTCTATCTATCTATCTATCCATCCATCCATCCATCCATCCATCTATCAATATATCCTCCATCTAAGCATTGAAAACAAATATAGTAGAACTAGTCTTCATCTATACATCTATCTATCAATCTACAATCCATCCTCCATCTAAGTATTGCAAAAAAAGATATTTCAGAAGTACTGCAATCTCAACATCGCTCCAGCGATCAGACTTCAATCCACGCAGCCGTTTTGAACGCAGAGATGTACCACTTCGGTGGTCTCGGACGCCACTTCCGCCACGCGAGAACCCAAGAGGAACGTGACCAAACCTGGAAGAAACGTCCCGAGCTGGGGACTCCAAAGCATAGCTAAGTTGGTTACTCACTTCTATGGTTTATGGAATCTTATGGATGTCTATAGTGGGTATTAGTGGCTAAAACTGTAGGAATCATCAGCCATGTATATTGGTTAGATTGGTATAGATTGGTAATGTTTTGCTCTTTTGTGGCTGAACAAATTCTGATCACTGGAAATGATGAAGGATATGTTGGTTACAAGTTATAAGTTGTGAACCGGGATAAACCAAGATTGGTAATGCGGTTTATAGCTCCGATAACTTTAGGAATGTTTTTTTACAGCGGTGTTTCCCATATGTTTCCACATTGTCCTTTGGTTTTCCCCTGTGAAACTTCCAGGTGATGCCATGTGTGATGACACCGTGTCCCAACTCTCCGCTCTCCATACCCCCGCTGCGCGCAGGCGCGGCTGCGCGCGCCTCCGGGTAGATTTGCTGTGGTCAAAACACCCGGCGAGTTGGACCGACGCGAAGCCTGGAGGATGAGACATCGCCCTCTCCGGGAGTTCAGCATCGTGCTGAAGGCGAACCTATTGACTATGAATACTGATTAATCATGATGGTTATTCACTATTCATCATCTATCATCATCAATATTCCTCTATCCATTGGGTTTTGAATGTGGGGAACCCTCTATTAGGGATTTCCTCTACCAGTAATAGGCCATGCTTGCTTAAAGAGTTATGTACTGTTGGAAGCGAGGCCAAAGTTATTCATCATGACTTTAAGTGATGATTAACACTGATAAAAAATAAGGGTAGGTTTATGATGATTATGACTTATGACTACGAACAATGATAATGCTGATGATTAATAATGATACATTTATGGCTATAGTATATAAACATATGATTATTTTTTAATCATGGTGCATGTATGATGATCATAAAATGGTACATTCAAAATGACATAATGATTCACGCTGACCCGGGCAAGCAATCAAGAGTTGTATTTTGAATAGTTATTTCATGACCCTATGGTTTGAAACAGAACCAAATCCCATCCCATGAAAGTCACAGATTCATATCTGGCACTAGCCTGGATAAAAACAAGCCAAGGTATCCAGGTATTGTAGTATCATCCCTGCATAAATCAATTAACAGGGGTATTAGGAATAGATGATTAACTACCTGGGATTATACTACAATAATGATTTGGAACAACCCCCTGTTGATAGATTGTAATATACATATAATCATTTGGAATAGCATATCTAAATATATTTAATGATTTGATGATTCAAGATGATTAACTCTCATTAAGCCAAGTAGGGGGTCACCAAAATGTCCAAGAAAAAACATGATCATTAGCCCCATACCTGCGATGCACATCCTTTGATCCCGCCTGCGCCCACACTGGAAGAGACGATAGCGCCGACAAATTCATGGCAGCTTTTTGCGACATGGCGCCCGATGAGACGACGGCGACATCTTCACAGCTGCAAGTCACGGAAATCAATGCATGCAGAGTCCCTTTTGCAGTTTTTAAGTGGCGTAAATCAACTGTCAGTAGCGTTTAGATGGGGTACTTTTTCAAGATTTCAAGCGTGTAATTGGATGGACCATGACCAATAATCCACACATCTAACGGGTGACCAAACGTGACAGGGTGAGGTCTGGAACACAAGATCATCTGAGCGCCTCCAGCATGCTACTTATCAGAAATTCCAAAACACTGCATAGTTGTGGGGATCCAAAGAACAGGCAAATGGCCATCAACAGACTGTAGGAAATGTGTGCTTTATTTGTCTGGGACCGGTGTAGTCTAAATTGTTCAAAGATGTTCACACTTCAAAATAGCGTTCCATGATTCCATGTCAACAACTAATTAAATGCCAAAAAGGTTTGCCTTCCAAACGGGACCATTTGATTTATCATTTTGCGAAGGTACGAATAGGAGCTCTCCAGCTATAAGTTGGTTTATAACCCAATCTAACTGGTTCGATATATGCGGCATAAAATGTAGCTCTATAAACCAACTAATTAAGCTATCTTGGAGGACATTGTAACATCATATGCAATGTGATTCCGCCTGCCAAGGCGCTACAGTTGGAACGAACCACCAATGCCTCCACCACCTCTCACTCCCCAAAAAAACAAGTCAGGTTCTAGTGCGGTATTATCATAATTATCAATCCATTCCACCATCATTAAATCTCATTAAACCCCATTACATCACATACCATTAAATCCATTTCATAGCACATAAGAAAACTTGTTGAGCAACCCTTTGCCCTGGCTCGCCGCTGTTTGAAGCCCAAAACGGCTGAGTTCCAAGCATCTTGCTGAGCTTCCCTCCTGAGGAGCTTTCCTGCGCAGTGGGCCCCCTACACAAAGCAAGCAGTCAACAAAAAGGCCAACTTCAGCAAATTGCTTGGATACTTCTGCTTCACAAATACAACATGATTAAAATTGACTCAAGTAGCCCCTGTAGATAAACTATATGTCAAGTATCGCATATAAGCTGAATCTAGATGGTTCACAAGCCTAAGACCCCGAACTCATGTACCCAACAAAATGATAAAACTGCAATAATTTATATTACCAATTGAGAGTCACCCAACATCTCTAGTGCCACGTCCGTCAACATTAATCCACAGGCAAATACATGCCTATTTTCTTGGGATAAATACCAATTTCTATGGGATTAATGAGGGTCTAGGACTTTTTTTTTTTAAAAGGTATTCAGCCAAGTCCACCAAAGGGGACCCTGAATAAAGGATGGATATGGATGGTTTATAGGCCATCCATGAAGCGATTGTTGCAGGTGAATTCCACCATGGTGAATGCCATTTATCAGGGCTGCACTCAACACCCTTGGTACGTTTTGGGGGTGAAAACTGAGTAAAGAAGTAAAATAGCAGATCATGACCAATCTAAGCCCCAATCTTTGCTGTCATTCGCCTACCATTGCTTTGAGCAACCTTGTTTCCAATATGGTTCTTTTGGAACAAAAATCAGGTGCCGGTTCGGTAAATCATTATCTAGTCTCATCTATCTTTTGCTCTATTAATCAACAAACCAGTGTGGAAAGGACATCTATGGCTCAAAATTAGAGAATTACATTTCCCTATTCATAACATATGTCAAAGTTTTGGTGGGTCTTGTTTTTTTAAAACCCATGGGTAAAATCTCCATTTTTCATAGGTAAATCATCTTTCATATCATCTATACAGTAACTGCCGTGGCTTCCATAGGTTTACTCGTCTACTTTAGTGGTGGATCAACCACCAGCTTTTCCATGATATTCTTACCAATGTCCCATTAAACTATTGAATACTCTCTGGTTATGACTAAAAGTTCGCCATGGGAAATGGCCCATAGAAAGTTCGATGGTTTACCGTTCTTAAAAAAATGGGTGGATCTTTCCATGGCTATGTGGCTATGTTAGTCATAACCAGAGGGTAACTATTGACTAAACTTGTTGAACATCATGGTTATAGTCAATGGTTACCACCATTAGTTGGTGGTTTAACATCATGGTTATAGTCAATGGTTACCATATTAAAAATGGTTGAATAACCATCAAAGTACCATTAACATGGACATTGCTAAGAATATCATGGAACAAACCATGAAATGGGTTCATTCAATCACCATTAAATCACCATTAAAGTACCATTAAATCACCATCAATAAATTGGAATTAAATATGGCAGTCATATTAAAAATGGTTACCATACTCACCATTAAATCACCATCAAAGTACCATGAAATCACCATTTTTCATGGTTTTTGTGACTCTCCTTCAGCTCCACCACGGAGGACACGACCTTGTCACCTTTTCGGGAGCGGGATTGAAAAGTTGCGATTTTTTTGATGGGGAACATAGGGAAAAAACCATGGGAAAAACCACATGAATTTGATGGAAAATGAGAAAGGCCCAGATGTTTTTCGATATTTTGAGATCTGAAATGAACACTCCATGGTAGAATGTAGGTATATTGCTCATCAGCGGGTTTGGGCGAATGGCCCAGGCGTCCGAAGTGCCAAAACTGCACCAGTGAGGTCTAAGCAATTTTTTCTACGTAACTACGCAAGAGTAGTCAGCCCCTTAAGAAGGAGCCAACCACGTAGGTCTGATGATGTACAAGTCCAACATCTACCAGAAAGTCGGCTAGATATCCTAGCCAATTGGGTGCCCGCACCACCACTGGCTTTCAACCTCAGGTGGGCTGGTTGCATCCAGCATAGCGACACTGGTAGGGGAAGAAAAGACCTATTCTGGGGATATCTTGGGATATCTTGAGATATTATTGATAATTATGATGTAAGTTATAATGTGCATAGCAACAACCAACTGGATAATGCTTAGTTTGGTTTATTGAGACTTAAAACTTAGTTGTAATAATAAAATGTGAAATCTATAATCATATCACAAATACATCATATGTCGTGGTTATTCGCGATTCACCATGAAATCTTCATGACCATGACGGAACAAATACAATGATAATCAAATCCATTGCTGACGTTGAGGATGTTGATGTTGTTACTGTAATGATGTTGGTGATGATGATGATGATGATGCTGATGATGATGATGATGATCATCGTCATCGTCATCCTCATCGTCACCGTCACCGTCATCGCCACCGTCATCATCATCATCAGCATCATCATCATCATCGTCATCATCCTCCTCCTCCTCATCATCATCATCATCCTCATCCTCCTCCTCCTCATCATCATCATCATCGTCATCATCATCATCATCCTCCTCCTCATCATCATCATCATCCTCATCCTCTTCCTCTTCCTCCTCCTCCTCATCATCATCATCATGATCATGATCATGATCACCATCATGATGATGATGATGATGATCATCATCATCATGTTCATGTTCATGATAAACAGCAAAAACTCTAAAGAAAACAAATAAGTGGTGACGAGCCATTGAGAATTCATGAACACCCGAGCTTTGTTTCAGCATCATTGAACCATCAAGAGAGATGCTGACCCCAACCAAAGCCCATGATGTGCCCTGTCTGCAAATTCCTTGTCGTATATCGGGTCAGGACCCCAACCAACTCCTGTAGTCGTAAGGGTTATGTCTAGATTAAAAAAAACAACGACGTCAAAAGTGTACCTGGTCTTGGGCCCATTCATCATGTGTTGCAATCAGAATCCCAATCTAGGATCACTATGGAGGTTTCAAACATGTTTTTGTTTTTTTCCCGGTCTTTCTATCTGTCCCTAATGTTGTTGCCATTGAAACACACATACACACACAGACACACAGACATATATATATATACACACTTAAACCCTTAAACTACCCAGAGAAATGGCATTGTACCAAGGAGCACCTGTGTACCTTATGCATTTTTAAAGATACCCTCTCTTGATATTTCACCTCCTACAGCCAAATAACTTGTATAACAACTCATGCTGAAAAAGTGTTTCGAGGATGCTGACATTGACCTTAATTATATTTTTCATGTACCCTCTGGTAAACATACAAACTAGACGACGGATGGCCCGAGAGCGTAGAGGAGCAGAGTCTTCTGTTGTTAGTATGGAGACACGCTTTTTACACACAGGCTCTTTTACACACAGACGCTTTTACACACAGAAGCTTTTACACACAGACGCTTTTACACACAGACCCTTTTACACACAGACGCTTTTACACACAGACGCTTTTTACACGCAGGCGCTTTTACACACAGAAGCTTTTACACACAGACTTTTACACACAGACCCTTTTACACACAGACGCTTTTACACACAGACGCTTTTTACACACAGACGCTTTTACACACAGACGCTTTTACACACAGACGCTTTTTACACACAGGCTCTTTCACACACAGAGACTTTTACACACAGAGGCTTTTACCCGCAGAGACTTTTACACACAGACGCTTTCACACAGACGCTTTTACACACAGACGCTTTTACACACAGACGCTTTTACACACAAACACTTTTACACACAAACGCTTTTACACACAGACGCTTTTACACACAGACGCTTTTACACACAGACGCTTTTACACACAGAGGCTTTTACACACAGAGGCTTTTACCCGCAGAGACTTTTACACACAGACGCTTTTACACACAGACCCTTTTACACACGGACGCTTTTACACACAGAGACTTTTACACACAGACGCTTTTACACACAGACACTTTTACACACAGACGCTTTTACACACAGACGCTTTTACACACAAACGCTTTTACACACACACACACACGCTTTTACACACAGACGCTTTTTACACACAGACGCTTTTTACACACAGACACATTTGACACACAAACACATTTACACACAGAGGCTTTTACACAGAAACACTTTTACACAAACACTTTTACACACAAACACTTTTACACACAGACGCTTTACACACAGACGCTTTGACACACAGACGCTTTTACAGACAGACGCTTTTACACACAGAGACTTTTACACACAGAGACGC